TTCTTTGAGTAAGTCCTTGATTTGATTTTGACTTCAAAGATTTTCTTTTGGAGGGGCCAGGAGATGGTGCATGGTTACATTGCTGGACCGCTACATGGCTGTCTGTGGTTCGAGTCCTGGATCTGGTGGCTTGAAAAAAATCACACTGGGCGCATGTGTGTGTGTGTGTGTGTGTGTGTGTGTGCCCAGGATCCTGGGAGGAGAATGAAGGAGAAGGGATTGCAGTGTGGCCATCCCCCAGGGGGTGATTTCTCACTTTCCCTCTTATTGTCTCTCTCTCTTTCCTTGGCAAGTGCATGTACCCTAAGGCAAAAACCTCTTAATGAAAAAAAAAAAGATTTTCTTTTGGAAACATCAGAATGAATTTACTAACTGGATTTTGGGGTAGCAATGGTGGCAATTAGTGAAAGAAGATTCTACTGAGATCTTCAGGGACTGTTAAGCCCTGAGGTTTTTCAGACTGTGAAGACATGCACCTTTCTACTTGAAGAAGTCGTTTCATCTAAACAGAATCTCATGCCTCCATTGGCGAACGACAGAAACTCAGAGGCATTAGCTAAATTAACTGTTTCCTGTGGTTGGTCTTTAGGATGTTAAACTGTAACGGAATTACTGAGTTGAGAGCAATTAATTGAATGTACTTTAAATATATTTTATCTAAATGCTACACCTGGCATTTTTCACGCCATTTAAAAATGACAAGAAAACTGTTGAATCTCAGTCCCATCAAAATAAACCCTGTGGAACAGTCTGAAAGTACTTCACATCTGTATAGTTCGTATGACCTTGGAGCCTGGAACGTCATTACGAATACTGCTCTCAGTATCATTCCAGTGGCTTTTTTCTTTTCTTTTCTTTTTTACTGCTGAACTTTGAATGTGCTTGGGTGGGGAGTGAGGGAGAAGGGGGGAGCACCTCAGTGGGGTGTGGTCACCCTGCAATCTTCTTGCCTCCATTCCCCCTTCCCGTCAGTATTCTGGGAATGCACACACACATGTGCCTGGTGTGTTTTTCAAGCTACCAAGTTTGGATTCGAACCACAGCCTGCCATGTGGGATCTGCTCCCTTAACAACTGAGCTATGGGGCCAGTCCTCCAGTGCTGTATTTTTAAAGCAAAGAGTGAGAATTTGCAATATTTTCCCTAGGTTAGAAAAAAAAGAAGCCCGTAAACCACGGAGGAAGGATCAGAGTGGATGTCCAGTGTTAGAGCAGGAGCTGAAAATCTGACCCTGTCCTGGGACCGCAGAGCTCCTCCTGGCAGTGCGGATGGGGAGATCAGGATCTGGGTCAGAAAGAGAGAACATCAACCTCCAGTGGGGCCAGCCCCACCTAGCGCCACTGTGGCTGTCCTGTGGCAGTGCGGTCCCACGAAAGCCAGAGGGGGCCAGCCCCACCTAGCGCCACTGTCGCCGTCCTGTGGCAGTGTGGTCCCACGAAAGCCAGAGGCAGAATGTTAAGCAAATTCAGATGGTGGTATTTCACATGAAATAATCATATATTTAAATATTGGAAACAAAATTCAAATTTTAAGCTTTGTGGGTCAAATAAAACATCTGTTGGCTGTCAAGAAGCCCCCGGGTTAGTGCAGAACACTGTCTACCTATGCAAGTGCTATGTAAAGTGCTAGGTGAAGAAGTCCTGTCCCTCGGTCCTCATCATCAATCAAAGGACATGTGTTTAATAGAAATTAGGGTACCTCATTTACTAACAGGCAGAAGGTGCCACCATGCTGCAATGACATGTTCATTAACTGGACTTTTTTTTTTTTGAAGAGGTTTTTGCTATAGGGCGCGTGCGCTTGCCAGACAGAGACAGAGAGACAGAAAGCGAGAAATCATCCTCCAGGGAGGATGGCCATGCCGCAATCCCTTCTCCTCCATTCTCCTCTCGGGATCTTGGGCACATGCACACATGTGCCTGGCGTGAGTTTTAAGCCGCCGGGTCTGGGACGTGAACCGCGGTTAACTACATGGGAGTCCAGTGACATAGCCGTTACGCTAACTGTTGGTCCCATTAACTGGACTTTTTTTAAAAAATGTGAATCTGCCATTTTTCTCTGCTTTATGAACATGTTAGTTTTAAAAAAAAAAAGTGGTGAGATTTACTGATTGGTTTGCAAATTTTGAGGACTGGAATGTTAAGAAACAGAGTTATATTTGAAGGTTGGGTGTATAGAAGCTGAAAGTAGAATAAAGGCTTTTAAAATTCCTTCCTAGCATCATAGTTTGCTTATCATACAAAAAAATAGGATATTGGTCATGATAGATACTATTCTATAAAGAAAAGGAAATTGAACTATGTTATCCTCCTATACTGTGGATTTCAAATTGAAATAGTCTTTTGTATCCCCAAGGGTGGGTCCCGAGACCCCCAGGGATACCATAATTTGCAAATGCTCAGGGCCCTTCCATAAAGCGACCAGTGCATGCGTATAACCCACACACCCTCCACCATGCCTTCAATCCCCTCTCGATTATTCATCATAAAAACGTTAATAGCTGTTTTACTATATTGTTTAGGAAGCTCAGGTTTTGTTTGTGGAATTTTCTGATTTTTTTCTTTTCCAAATATATTTGATCTGTGGTGGGTTGAATTTGTGGGTGCAGAGCTTATAGACGTGGAGAACCCACAGGCTGTGTTGGACAGAGTGGAAATGAAAACGTTTTATATGGGGTAAGGACAAAGCTGAGAGAGAGCGAGGCTGTGAAACAGTCTGTAGTCCCCTAGGCTGAGAAGAGAAAGGCAGAGTCCCGAGCGCAGTGTGTCACGGCTACTCAGGCTGCACACGGCATCCGTCCAGTGGATAAAGCAGAGGGCAGGAACAAGGGTCCCTTCTGTGCCAGCCACTGATTGCTCTGGGACCTGGAGGAGCAGTGTTACCTTTTGGCACTCAGGTCACCCCATAGATGAGAAAAGACAACGCATATCCCAAGGGCATTTCCTGCTTCATTTTTGACAACTATAAACCACTTGCAGACTTCTAAAATCAGGGCTATGACCAGGGCAGGAAACATCGCCCCTCTGTAACTGACAGGATGGATGAACAGCTGCGACGCCCAGCCATCGCTCAGATGCCTGCTGGAGGAGTCTCGTTTTCTTTCCATCTCTGCTCATTCTGGAACCCGTTGCATTTATTTCCAAGCAATGCTCTTTCTATCCAATTTTTCTTTGTATGTAATTTAAATGAAAAAGCACCTCTGGGATGATTCATTGTTTAAATTGAAGTCTCCATGTTTTCTTTTGGAAATTGAGGCATCTATATACGTAAGGCTGTAGTTGGGCAGAGACAGACAAGAGGCATGCTGGAATCCAGGGCCAGGCGATGGAGCGTGCACTATGAGGGTCATCATGCTTGTCCGTAGCCTTCACAAGGTGTCCCTTGAGTGAAATGCTAATTTTACATTTGATTCATAATCTTATCTTTAATATTTAGAAAAACATAACATTACTGAGGTCTTTGAAGATAAATTTTATGGATAAAAATATAATTACTGCTCTCTTAAAACCTGATATACAATATGAAAAATAGCACTCTTTCTAGCTCTTGCAATGACACATGAAACTAATCCCCACATAAACATAACCATAGAAATGAGCCCGCACCTGGGACTGTGTGGCGTACAGTCCCGGGACTGGGTGGCGTGCAGCCCCAGGACTGGGTGGCGTGCAGTGGTGATACAATTGGAGCCACTTGGGAAAGGTCCCGGGTTTGCAGCCTGGAGCCCCCTGGAGCACGCTGCGTGCACATGGGTGTATGCACATGCCCAAGATCCAGGCCCTCTGAGGCTGGCCTGGGTCACTACGTGGAGACCCAGCTAGGGGTGCCTGTTTCTCTCTTGCTGTGTCTCTCCCTCTTATGGATGATTTAAACAAATGAACTTTCAAAAAAAGAAAAAAAAATAGTCCACACTTTCTAGAAGTTATTTCCTCCTACTACCTAATGCCTGACTTCCAAGAGATTGGATGAGTCGTGTGGTCTAATGTAGCCATCTAACCTTCTGAGGAAGGGACCTCAGCAAGGACGGTATTCCCACAGCTCCTACCTGTTGGTGAGGTTGAAATATGGGGGTACTTTGCATGTATGCACATGTAAGAGGGGGGGTCAAAGAGTTCATAGAAAATAAGGTTAAAGTATGCATTTATTTTGGTGCGAAGAAATCTTGAAATCCATGCAGTTTCCCACAACATGCATTTTCTATGAACCTTTTGAAGACCTCTTGGATATATTTGTTTATATACGTCTGTCTGTATGTGTTATGCACACCCAGACACTCGTTCTTTCTCTTCTAATTTCCAGAGGGCATGTGTATGTGTTAGAGAGACAGAAAGGGAAAGGGAGAAAGGGAGAGGGAGAAAGAACCCCAGGGGCATGGCCATGCGACAGTCCCTTCCCCCATCTGTCCAACCTGTCAGGATCTGGGGCACACACTGTACCTGGGGTGTTTTTCAAGCCCCCGGGTCTGGGATTTGGACAGCAGTTAGGCACGTGAGAGTTGGTTTCCTCCATCCTAGGCTGTGAGGCTGTGTCTCCCTCCCCCACCACATCCATTTCATTGGAGACTGACATACAATCAGAGGCCGAGATTAGAACGCAGAAGAGAGGGTAAATGACCAGCAAGGTCCAGCACAGGACGGGCGCCCCTCACGGATGTACGGATGTTAGCCTGTGTGCAGACTCTTACTGGGGGCAGGAAATGAACTCTAAGGTTATTCATTTATTTCTTCCATGAGTGAGAGCGACAGACACACACACACACACCCTCCAACAGGGTCTGGACACTACAATCCAGCCGCACTTCAGCTGACTGGGGGGCGTGGGCAGGCATGTGCCCAGCACACCCCGGGAGGTCTCTGCACTTGAACCGGGAACCTTCCCAGGTGGGGTTGCCTGGAGAGGGCCGCGATTTGCCCCGGCCACTGTGCGGCCTGGAAAACAGTTTTAAACACGCAGCTCTGCAGGCTCCCGCCAACCCGACCGACCGGTGCCGCAGGCGCCTACCTTGCGCAGGGGCTTGAGCTTGGTCTCCATGATGAAGTCGTACTTGCAGAGCTCACAGCAGCGCGTGTCGGAGCTCTTGATCCACTGGTGCAGGCAGGACTGGTGCACGAATCGAAGGGTCCCGGTGCAGCGGCAGGGCGTGATGAGGGGGCTCTCTTCATCACCTTCGCAGTGACAGATCCTGGGGAGGACAGCACACCGGTGAGCGCGCCCAGATGCGGAGAGCTTTCCTCCCCAGAGATCCCCGCACTTGCTCCCAGCCGCCGCCGAGCTAGGGACGCGGCCCGGGGTTCCGAACGCACAGACATCGCACCGATGATTAATTCTATGTGCTTTGACTCGGGTGGCCGTTGAGGTACTGGAGTCACGTTCTAAGGCGGTACTCGGGCACACGGGAAACGCACCATCCCGCGTGGAAGCCAGTGAGCGCCTGGCTCCTGAGCTGTGTCCTCCACTCGGTCTACTTCATAGGTCACCGTGGGCTCCCACACGTGGAAGTAACAGCGTGTAAGTATTCTAAGGAGTGCCGTTGTCTGAGAACTGCATCGTGTTACTCTGATGAGGATTTTAAAAGGCTACGGTATATAATTTAATAAATATGGTATCTTACTAATGTGGAAGGAATCAGCAATTTAAAGGTGTAACCAAAGAATAAAATTAATATGGAAAGTCTCAGCCTGAAAATATTACACGGCTTGTCCTCGAAGACACAGATACTTTGGTTGCAAGTAACAGTCTAAACCGTCATTAACCATCATTGTTCAGAAGGTGCAAAATCTTCCAACAGCGTAAGATTAAAGTAGAGTAAATGCCATCTGATACATTCCAAGGAAAGTCAAATAAAACAATGTTTGAGGGGCCAGCAAATGGCGTGATGGTTAAGGGAATAAATTCTCATATTATGTTTCACCCCTGGACCTGGAGGCTTGCTTTCTCACTCCATCTCTCCCACCCTTGTCTCTCTCTGGTGAGTACTTGTACCATATAGCAAACTTTAAAATAATAATAATAATAAAATTAAATAATTTTTTAAAAAAGAAAGTTTGATATATATATATATATATATAAGACAGAAAGAGACAGAGAGATAGAAAGCAAGAAATCACCTCCCAAGGGGATGGCCACACCACAATCCCTTCTCCTCCGTTCTCCTCTCAGGATCTTGGGCATGCATGCACAAGTGCCCGGTGTGAGTTTAAGCCACCAGGTCTGGGACTCGAACTGCGGTTGAGTACATGGGAGTTCAGCGACATAGCCATTATGCTAACTGCTGGTGCCTGAAATATATGTTAATCACTACATCTGCCAATTAATTTAGAGTTCAACGAGTTTCAGAATTTCCATGAATTTTAGTTTCATAGATCTATGACCTATGAAATTGCATTCGGACTTAAAAAATACATCTTCTCTTTGGATGAGATAAACCTTTCACAACTTATGTTTTGAATTCAAATCTCAGCCTTTCAATAAATATTTTGAATGCGTGAGCCAGCTGTTAGAAGCTGCTAATAAATTTAATCAGAAATATTGCTTTAAACCTGTTATAATACAAATGTGGAATGTGACATTTAAAAATTGGAAAAACCCACGCAATGATTTTGCTGGGCTGAGCCACAGAGGCAGGATGGATCACAGGTGTTTTTTGGCCTCTCATTTACGGTGCACACATGCTTTCCCCGGGAAGTGTACACGTTCACACGCACACACACACAATTTCAGCTCTCTCCCCTCTCCAGGGACATGAAATGGCTGCTCAGATCATCAGTGCAGAATTGAAGCCCATGCCCCGCCAACTTCAGAATAAGGAAGTGTGGCAGAATACACTAGCAATTTCAATCATCTCTGAAGTAAGAATAGAGCAGGTCGGGCCAGCAGCAGTGGCGTAGCCATATCAGGGCTCTGTGATGGTGGCGCTGCCTGGGGCGTTCAGGCTCCGCGTCTGGAGGCCTTCCTGGATATGGCTGTGGGCCGCAATGGCTAGAGCTGGGCTGGGGCGTGGTGTGAGGACTCTGCTGGGGGTGACTCTCTTTTATGGAAGGAGTCGGATAAAATAATACTTTTAGGGGAGTAAGGGAAGAGGAGCACTAACTCTGAGGTCTGGAGTGGGAGAGCGGGGATGAGAGCCCAGGAGAGTTCGAAACCCGTGTACCCCTCTTCTGGACGAGTTTGGAAGCAGTGCTCACCATGAGGCCAAGGTGCTGGGAGCCCCCGAGACTGATGAAGTGCCTCCTCCCGGCTGTTCACCCAGGCTGGGAGCGGGCCTTGCAGCGCCTCCTGCTGCACTAGCTGCTACACATCACAGCACAGCACACTGCGGTTGAATAGAGTTGAATTCTGTTCACCTGGGCTAACTTTAAAAGCAACCAAGGAATGTACATCTGAGCTTCTAAGCACCTGATTTGGTTGTAATATTTATGTCTAGAGCCACTGACAACTAATGGCTTACAGAGAATGAGAGCTTGATAATCATTGAACCTGTCTCCCGGCCTCCACACAGATCAGCAACCCAGGATCAGCAAACTCAGCTCAGCTCTGCCCACTGAGTGCTCTGTCAATCAAGCTTTATTGGAACGCAGCCTCGCCCGTGGGTTTATAGCTTGTTCAGAGCTGTGTTCGTACACAGTGGACAGGAGTAGCTGCTGCAGAGACCACCTGGTTGCAGACACTGAGATACTCACTCCTGGTCCTTTCCAGAAAATGTTTGCAGACCCCTGCCGGGAACGGCTTGTGTGATTCTGAGTTAAAGACAAAGTGTGAATGTTCTTGACAATAATGAAAGCAAATTTTACAAAATAAACCACCCTAGCCTGAACCAGTAACAAACAAACAAACAAAATCGAAGTTAAAGGTTGCAGAGAAAAACACACAATGAAAAGGGAAGCTCTCTTTGGTGAGGTGTTGAAGTCTGTTGCTTCTTTGGACAACATTCCCTAGTTAAAACCAACGATTTGCAATTAATGCCATCTGTTAATTCATCACTAAAAGAAGATCATGTCAAATGCTCTACGGCTGCCAATGAGATCCTGAAGCACTGATTGCTATTTTTTTCTGACATGGAAAAGGTCATTCATTCATAAGCACCTTTAAACAAGACAGCTGAAGGCCGAGTTCCAACGGCCCCGACCGGCTTGCTGACGGCAGCTTCACCTCTTATGTTTCACGGAATCCTTTTAAAATTTCTGCTAAAACTGTTACCTGAAGCACCACTAGCAATATAATTTTCTCATAAAATTAAGGTTATTTCCCAGAGGGAAAATCAAAAGCTTAGTTTGTTTTTATCCCTATTTCACATGGTTTATTTTTACATGTTTTCAGCATTTTGAACTTTTTCTAAATTATCCAGCTCAAGTTGGACCCCAAGAGTCTTTTTCAAATGATGTTGAGATTGTTCTAAATGAATTTAAGAGCTAAAGATCGGCTTCAGATAGCTAGCAGGAATAGAAAGCAATGTGGTGCCGCCACTGTGGGAAGAATTGGACGATTTGAAAGTTGGTACACTCCATACAAATCGCAACCATCAAAGTATAAAGGAAAACACAAACATGCTTTTTTCCAACAGGATAACTGTATAGAGAAATGAAATGAATGAATAACATAATAACATTGCATAAATAGTCGTCATCTTTCTGTATTTTTTCCTAGGTGGGAAATTGAGGCCTGGGAACTGTAGGCTTCTGTGAAGTCCTTGGATTTCCGCCTCCGTGGCTGCTGGCCAGGGACAGGCTCAGGCTGACCCCACGGACTTCACGGCCTTCTAGGATCGAGTAGTCCGCTCACCCTCTCTGTAGACGCTGAGACTCTCAGCACTTATGACCTCAAAGGGCTGCCACCCCCACTAATTTCTAGCTTTCTGTGAATGGCAGACCCATAAAAAGCTATGTAGCAAATTAAATGTTAGGTTCTTTTCGTGGTGTGGGGCACATGTGTGGGGTTAAAGTTCCTTGCTTTATACTTAGTGAGAACCAATGGAAAGGAGCCTGAGCTACTGGAACCTATTCCCTATGAATTCATGGCATGATGGGTGTTAAAAATAAACTAATCTGTGGTCTATAAAAAAAAAAGTTCCTTGTCTTAATGTTTCTTTTTGAGTTTTGAGAAAAGCGATATTTGGGGCCAGCAGGTGGCATGGTGGTTAAGGCACTGGAATCCCACATGGCTGACCACAGTGGTGGGAGTCCTGGACCTGGAGGCTTGCTTTCTTTCTCCCGCCCCTTCCCATCTGTCTCTCTCTGGTCAAATTAAAAAAAAAAAAAAAAGAATAAAATTAATGAAAAAAAAAAAAACCTGTTGTATGGAACCAGCAGATGGTATAATGGTTATGTTGCTGGACTCCCACATAGTCAATTGTGGTTCAAGTCCTGGACTGAGCTGGTTAAAACTCATGCTGGGTGCATATGCATGCATGCCCAAAATCCTGAGAGGGGAATGGAGGAGAAGGGATTGTGGCATGGACATCCCCCATGGTGGGTGATTTCTTGTTCTCTGTTTCTCTGTCTCCCCAGCAAGCACACATGCACTATAGAAAAAATCTCTCTTAAAACCCCCCCAACAAAACCTGGTGTGAGACTGTTACAAGAAGAAGAAGATCGACACTTCTCTGTGTGTGCGTGAGTCTTATGTATTCTAAAATGACCCTTACTGCTCTTTATGCCCTTCCCTGCCAAGGTTTTTTCACTTAGGTAGAATAATATTGTTTCTGCATAAGTTTTTTTTTTATGTATATTTATTTCATCCATAACAGAAACAGAGATAGAGAGACAGAGGAAGAACGCGAGAGAGAAAGAGAGACATAGCACTCCACAGGGCCTTGCAGCCCTGATCCACGTCCTGCCCCGGATCTCAGACACGCACATGCCCAGGTACTCCGGAGGTCTATGGACGCAACTCAGAGCCTTCTCCTGTGGGTCAGCCTCACAGTGTCATGTTTTCCTTTTATACCACCATCTGGCCCTCTGCCTAAATTAAAAAATAACACTAATTTATCACAAAATGATGATCTCTATAAAGGCTGTCACATTATATAATTTTGGAATTTTCAAATGAATCATTGTGTTTATTTGCATTTTCTCAGGTTTTGCTATATGCAAACAAACTCAGGCAAGAGCATCATCTTGGGTAAATCGAGAGGGAGAGCAAAGGGACCCCATGTGGGCCATGATTGCCATCATTAAGGTTGTGAGA